TTTTTGTGGAACGAACCTCGTTTACGATCCGCTGTACACGTCTTTTGCCTACCAACGCTGAAAGCTGTAAATTTCCATCAACTTGATTTTGTTCACCATGGCCCTGAAAGCAAAAAAATTTTGAACCATAATGAAAAAACGAGCGAAAATGGACAACTGTGATAAGGAAATTTATTTACGTAGAGCATAACAAGAAAAGTATAACTTAGGACAGATATTATTGAACAAAAAACTGGAAAACTCATAAATAACCTGTAAAGCAGTTTCAGCCGTGAAAAATTTCATGTGGTATATTAATACCAATAAACTAATTAAGACGATGAGCAGCAGCTGTCGAGGGGAGCCTGAAACTTGAATTATTCAACTTTCAGATTACAATGTTTGCAAAAAAAAAAGTTAAAAACAGAAATCGAGAGTGTAAAAGCAATCCTGGACCACTTAGGATTAATGTGAAAGGTTTTAAAAAGTATCTGCAATCAAAACTTTAATTTTCCTCATTCATCATACAAAAGAATTGCCTAATATAAATACCAAACTATTCTCATAAAACGCAGTTTCAAGTACAGTTTAGAAATAAAGGAATGAATAAATTTACAAACCCATCACTATAGTAGAGTGTAATAAAGAGCTCAAATCAGAATCAGATAAAAAAGATTGAGTAAAAGTTTTATAGGGAAATAGCAGAAAAATATAAGCGGTATTAACCGTAAATAAAAATAAAAAATTTTGGAAAAAAATGGGAATGCCTTACCCACATTATATATACAAAAATTGTATTCAAATCTTAACCATACTAAAAGTTATTTCTGATTTCCAAAAAAGATAGCAAAAATTTGGCTCGTCAAGTAGCCTGAAACCGAGCATCAGAGCAAGAAGTAAATTTTCAAAGAGTCAGAAGCTTCTTCGTCAATGTTTAGAAAAAGCAGTTCAAGACACAGTACGAAAACAAAAAAAAACTATAATTCTTTCCGCCTTATTAGCCGTAAGTACCTGTTAGAAAAGACGTACTCATTTTTCTAACGACAGACTCTTAACTTGAAGCAGAAACAAAGCTTTACGCTCTGATCACTAAAACAACAGCATAAACATACATTACCAACGGGAAAAACTTACCCCGGCGGCATCTGTGACGTCTCAATGCTTTTATCAAGTCCAACATTCTAAAGAGGCTTGATTTTAACCGATTCCTTTGTAGCGCCGTCAGTTCTTCAAACAACGACGCTACCGGTTTCATTCAAAACATTCAGCTGCTCGTTGTTTTTACCACTAAACAGTAATTATTCGGTTAGAAACACTCTTTTTGTCATCATCCAACAAGCAACTAAAATGAAAAAAATTTGGAATCTGTTATCACTGAAAAATATGATAATTAAAAGAGAAATGGACGAAATGTTACGCAACCAAAAAAAGAGTTGCTCTGTGGTGCCCAGTTTGTTTTAAAGAGTATAATATATCAAGCAATAAACAAGAGACACGAAAGAAAAAATTCAATTGTATTATATCTCCTGTAATCAAAACGCGTTGTGTAATGTAAAGAAAAATGAAGTGTATTCTTAACACAAAATAAAAAGCTAAAGACCGGCATTACTGAACAATCAACCTCAAGACAACTCCTTATAACGTCAACATCAAGATTGTGAGATGTGATATTATATATTAAACAATTTCTACTACACACTACAACCGAACTAAAAATGCAATTAGTAATGAAAGAATCCCTAACATATACAAGGTTTTGAAAATGAGAAAAGGCGTAAAAAACTTACTTATGCTACAGTCTTTAATCGTTTGCGAGGATGAAAGACAGGAAGGAAAAAAAACAGCTATATGCGTTTTAATACCGCAAAATAAATACAAAAAAATTTTGTTTCAGTTACCTTTTCAGGAATCTGTTCTAGTTTTGTTCTTCCAAAGCCAGCTCGTTATCTACACGACGCCTAATTGATTGACTGAAAAATGTAGGTGTAATGCTCAACAGAAAAAAGCAGAAAGAATAAAAATAAAAATGCATAAAAATGCAACTGTCCCGAAGTAATAATACTAGCAAAAAAAAAAGAAAAAAAAAAAAAGGAAACAACGTAAGTATGAATATTTACACGTTTATATACGAGACTTATGAAAACAAACATGCATTCACACACATAAACAAACAAAAGTACAAGCGTATATACAACAACAAAAGCGACATCCCACTGCTTTTTCGCTCATTTATCAATCTATTTGGTTCAGCATTATATCTGTTTGCTTAGCTTTCCCTTTTTCGGAACAATACGCGACATTCAGCACTTGGATTCTGCTACCATGATATTATCTTTTGGTCCCCATGCCTACACCTCCCATCTTCCCTATTCTCAGGACTCATCCTTTAGAAAAACCTCATGCAAGGAAACAAAAATGCCTTTAAATTTGCATTTTACTAATATAAAACAACAATAGCAGCACTACCACAATCATTACCGTCCCCCTCCCTAATAACATCACTACCAGCAGGAACAGCGGCAGAAGCACCAGCAGTAGGAACGACAAAGCTAACAGATGCTGCTAAAATGCTAGGAAAGAAAACTAAATAAATAATCGTAAAATTAAAAAAAAAAAACCATCAGATACTATGTATTAGTCACTAATTACACTTATAAATGTACATATATATATTCGTATATATATAATTGTTATATATATATATATATATATATATATA